AAAAAAAAAAAAAATGAATTATCTTCCCATTTGGGCATCAAATTACACAGTTCCGTTCTCTTAGAGCATCCACAATGCTTTGGGTCTAGTTTTACATATGTGTCATATAAATAGACATAAGTCCTAAATGACATGGACAAACCCAAGTAAAAAAAACTCAAAAGCTATTCAATGCAAAAATAAAATACCAAGTCTAGCATACATGACAACCAATAAAAATGCTCTAATATATTTCATTTATTAAAATAAAAATTAAATGAGGAATAAATGATGAGTGCTTGGTTTGTACTTGGGTCTAAAATAGACTTAAGTGTGGACTAGGTCTCTTTTTTTATTGTCACATAAGCTAGACTAGGTCCACTTTTAATTACATTGGGAAACATTTTTTTATAGACTATGTCTATTTCCTACATGGCATGTGATTTTTTTCTAAGAGACCCAAAGCATTGTGGGTGCTCTTAGAGCATCCACAATACTTTGAGTTCAATCACAAAAAGTTATATGTCAGCTAAGAAATAAAACCCAGTCTAAAAAAATGTATTCTCTAATGCAAATATAAATAGACTGGTCTTGTTGATGTTGCAGCCAGAAAAATAGACATAGTCTACCCTTCAGTATATTTTAAACCCAAGTAGAGACTTATACGCCAAATTTCCCGAACTGCTGGACTATCCTTCTCTCGAACCGGGTTATGTCTCTCTAATCGCGAGTACCTGCTTACTCCGACGCTCAAGTCAATGGGATATTCAAGAGAAAATGGCAGTGTATCGAGAATGCGTATGTGTGTGTGTGTGTGTGTGTATTTTGTAAAGTAAAGGAACCTGTTACTTTATAGCAGAGTGTCCCTGCCTCGCAGGACTTCTATCATCACACGGAGTCCCTCTCCCGTCCATCTCTTACCAAGACTCATCTTATCCGGTCATCTTGGAGTCCCAGTCGTACTCAACTCCTTTAGTGAGCAGGATTTAAACCCTAACAATTACATGGAAGTGGCACGTCACCCCGGTCTATCGATTGATTGTAGCTCGGCTACCATCACCCTATAGGCTCCACTCTTTTATGAACGAGCCTTGAGCCCAGTGACGGATCTAGAAATTTCATTCAGGGGGCCCAATTTTAAATGTTAAATAACGGGCTTTTAGTTTAAATCGAAACACTCATTTCATATAAAAATATCTCCCTCATACATATAAGAAAAAGTATGAGGGATTGAGAGCTTGACATGTGTCACTTTGTTATTTACCAAAATGCCCTTGCATTTATCATCATTTTACACTTGAGGCCCTCCTTTATTTCCACCAGTAAAAAGCTTACCCGATAGTGTGTGTCAGACGTCTCTACCTAAAATCTCACAAAATCTACCAAATCTTTTTTCATATCTTTGACAAGAAAATCAGACGCCAAATTACTGGGAATAGCTCGAGTAGAGAGACAGGGGTATCATCCTCCTGCATCAAATTTTTATGCAACTTTGCTCCGTTATTTCGAGCTTAAAGACGAAAGGGGCAGAGGCGACGCAGGCGGATCGAACGGCGTTGTCGACGTGCGGAGGCAGCGTCAGGGTCGCAGACGCAACGAATGACGACGGAGAGGGTCTGGTGCGGCCTGGTAATGGAGTCCAGCGAGCGCCCCTACGTATGACGAAGTCTGCTTGCCCACGACGTCTATTTTCCAGAGGCTAGGGTTTGTTGGTCGGGGAAAAACAGGACTGCATACATTTCTATTTCTCTATCTTCAATGTAAAATGTGACATTATGTGTAAATTTTTTTTTCTTGGTGGACCTTTTTGCAGGTGGATTTGTTCAGGGATACTTCAATGGCGAAGGATTAGAGAACTGTGTCAAGGGTCACTCTGCTCCAGCGGAAGACAAAGGTCAACGGTTGCCGGTTGCCGCCGATGGTGTCAGCGTATTCCATTTCTATTCTGTGTTCGGGTAAGATAAAATTACAATAAGGGAGATATGACCCTCCAAAACACAAAGGACAGTATTGAACTTTGTTAAAACTCCATCTATTGTTTCATCTATTGTTTCTGTGAATGCCTAAAGATGTTTGATATAATGCCCAAATGAAAAAGTATGGTGCTCACGATTATTTTGATCAATTAATGTTCGTCATTTTTTTTTTTGAAGGGTTTATTAGTTGACTACAAAGTTAGTGCTGCAGAAGCTTAACTTGTTTGATTTTTGGTAAGCCTATTACTTGTTTATTACCATGCTTGCTTTTAGTGGTTTAATTGCATGTCTGCAGTACTAATACCTTTTGCATAGTTTTATGTGAAGAAAAAAATTCTCCAGCAGATGGGATACATGGCCTTACAAGATGTTTGGACAGAGTCTGCCATGTGAACTGAGTGAGAGCAGAATATCCTCCACCATTGGTGAGGGTTTTAAATTACAATCCCTTCATAAGCCACCTTGTGATAGTGGAATTACTTTATTAGCATTGAATATCTTAAGTGTGCACTAAACCTGTTGGTTGAGAGATGCAAGTTTTCGAGACAAATTTAGAGGCGAATTTATAATCAACACCTTGCAGACTTTTTATGGATAATATACTTCTGACAATTATTTTATGCGTCTGTATTCTGGATTAGTCAAGTTTTTTAGCTCTATTCACTTGGATTTCTATTCTTGCAAGCTAATGAACTTCGTCATGCTTTAAAAGGTTGGATGGGAATCATGTCGTGTTTGGGAAAGTGGCGTCGGGTATGAATGTGGTAAAGATGATTGATTCGCAGGGCATGTTGAGTCGGCCTCCCAAATCACAGTTATTATCTGAGACATTACTGAACTGTCATTGTGACCCATCCTTCGAATTTCCCCTTGTGGACTTGTTTGTGTTTTTAATACTTTTATTATTTATTATGTAAGTACGTAACTAGCGGTTTAAATCTGGAAGGGTACATTTCATGGTCACTTGAATTGTGAAGATTATATTTCATTTAGATTATGGGAGGGGGGGAACTCCAATAAAAAAATGCTACTAATTCCAAGGTATAATATATTATGTGTGTGTGTGGTACTTAATGGAGAAACAATAAATTTTATTCTCATTCCAATTAAAATAATAATAATAGTAATAATAATAATAATACTAATCATATTTTAATGTTTTCATTGTGTCATCCCCATGGCCATTCTTGGTTGCATTTTAATATTTTATATTATCATTTTGGTAGTTATTCATATTATATGTGTCTGGCCAATTTAAATCACAATGAGTTAACTAAGTTGTACAAGAATCAAGTTTTGATATGTTTTAATGTGCAAGTGTTTTATGTCTTATTTTATTTTATTTATTTATTTTGTTTTTGGTTGTGAAGTTAAATATCTTCATTAAGTGGTAATTTCACCTTCCAGGATTTTCATGCTTTTTTTTTGTTTTTGTTTTGCACAACTGCAGATTCATCCAAGGGAGAAGTTGATTGGTTGAGAGTTGGACACTGAATTCATAAATGGATGGGTATATAAATTTATGGTAACTAAAATAATACAACACTATTATCTTGCCTTTTTATGAAATATATTATTTTATGTTGGTTGACTGAGTTGATAAGTCAATGAGATCTCATAAAAAATCGAGCGCATACCCACTTTGGTCTTTGAAAACTATAAGTCGTTAGACGAGTTCGTCCCCTCAGGAATTAT